GAGGAGGAGCTGTCAGACCATAGTGCGACAAGGCCAGAATTGATTTAGGGATGGAGAATGCAGACATGGTAAGCAGTGCCACTTCCCAGTGTAGAGAAAAGGCTTCCCTGCTTTCAAGAAGAACATCACCATGCAATGCCTCCAGAAGCCCAGTGATAATAACCCTACCACCTCTGACTTTTTCCACTGCCATAACCACCTCTTCACTGAAAGGGCTACTCTAATCAAGCAAGAACCCTACTCCCCCACAGAGAAAGGCAAAAAAATCAACTATTTCAAGCCAGAAGAACAACTAGCCTTGTTACCAGAAGGCACTGGAGCTGTGGAATGTCACCAAACAACTCCAGTCTCTGGAGGCCTGCTAGTCCCAACTCCTGCTCAAAGCAGGGCTGCACTGAACACTGCTCTACGGGACAGTCCTCAAAGATGGACAGACCACAGCCTAAGAGCAGGCAGGATCAGAGTGAAAGCATTTAAGGGATGAGCTGTTACAAGTCCCTAGAAAGCTGCTGGTAACCATTTACAAGTGGCTGGCTACAGATGAAAAACTGTCTGAGTCGGCGTTGCAGCTGAACAGTGTTCCCCCACAGCTCCGCTGCATTAATCACGCTGCTGGCTGACTTATCTCTCTACATCAATTAAAGACACAACATAAATACTGGATTTAAAAGCTGTAGTCATGTTCACTGGTCCATGCGTGATTTATCTGCAGAACACACACAAACACAAAGCCAGCCCAGATAGTGTCTTTTGCAGTCACTGCTGAACAAAAACCATCACAACCAAACCCCTGCATCCAGCTGAATCATGAAGAGCATAGTTTTGGCTCTGGGAGAGTATCTCACCTGCTCTGGTTGCTGAGCAGGGAGAGGGCAAGACAATTTTGTCCTTCTCCCATGCCTCTCTGCTGTCAGGTGCACACCCAGTGAAGTCCTCTCCTGCTTCTCCTCCCGGGTAGAGGAGATGATCTAACCCCTGGAGGGTCAGCAACCAACAATGCTTCAGATCAGAATAGGTTCCTCCAGGACCTCTGTCTGCATCTTGAGAGCAGAGATGTGAGGAGCTGTTAGCCCCATCCTGCTCTCCCCTCCTTGCACCCACAGTCTCCACACACAGGCAGGGGCTTTGCCTGAAAAACTGCTGCATACTGCAGCAGGAAGGATGACAAGAAGGATGGCATCTCCCTGCATCACCAATGCAAAGCATGACTTGCACACACACACACACACACACACACACACACTCGGGGTGGTCTGCCAGTAACTCCTGCTTGCACTGAGCACCCCTGTAAAACTGCAGGCTTCTCTGCCAATACCATATTCAGGTACACAGTGGGTCCAAGGTGAGGGCTGGAAACCAGCAGAATATCCTTACACATTACAACAGGAACTCCTGAGTTACTGGGGTCAAGCACTGATCCCTGCTAAAGACAAACACTTCAGCAAAGAAAGGCACGGTACTGGGCACCATGCAAAATTATCTGCCCAAACTCTCAGTGGTGCCACGCAAGGAGATGCACCATTGAGACCTCCTGAGAACCTGCCCCCACCCTTTACAGTAGCATCAGCAGTGGGGAAAAAAACCAACTACGGTACTGGTTAGTGAATAATCCTATTCCCAAGAGAGTCCAAGAGCCTTAGACAGCAGGATCACCTTTCTCCCTCAGCCTCCAAAATGTGCATTTTCACGAGTGCCTGCGATGCCTAGAATTGGTAAAGCAATAGAGTAAAATGACATTAATTAAAACTTGAGCAGAACCTGACAAATTTTTGGTAAACTAATCTGCACATCTCAGCAGTTTCACCAAGAGTGCTGCAAGCTCAACAAATGTTTAATGACTGAAAAAAAGCAGTGAAAAACTGCATTTGCTAAGCCTAGATGAGACTTCAAAAATATACTCCAATCTGTTTACAAGTATACATGGAAATAGAGAATAAATAATGATAAAAAAGTATCATTTTTGCAGTTCACTTTTTGACTTTTCCTATTGCTTCAAATCATATCCTCTACAATGACTTTGAAGAGGAATTATCCAGTTTCTGTGTCAAATCTGGGGAAAGCATTTTGCAGGAATGATTTCTTTTTGAGCTCAGCAATTTACCTGCAGTCTACAGCAACCAGAGTATTTTGAAAGCCAGGAATAAAAATGTAAATGTCATCTCCTTGCCTTTTAAAGCATTATACTCCATAATCACAAGAGGTTTGCTGGGCATGTTCCAGCTTGTCTTCCAGAAGTTCACCTAGGTAACCCTGCCCTGACAGCCAAGCAGGGCCCTCTCACAAATCTGCACATTTTTTCTGTTTCTGTTGCATGCTAACACCTTCATCTAAGATGGGACAAATTTTCCCCTTGAAATGTGCATTTGGCACTGCCCAAGTTTCTTCTTCCCTCTCTTCAGCTTTTTTGTTTTAGAACTCCAGAGCATGATGAACAGCTGCAGGGATCGCCTGGTTTTGTTTCCCCTCCATCAGCTGTTGATCTACCACACTTGATTCATTTAAACAGTCCCCGTCAATCAGGACTATCTTTTACCTGTTTACACAGAGTCTCCTAACATAGGATCACACATCACAGCACTTTGGCTCCAGCAGCAGAAGGCATCTCTCCTCTTCAGGAAGAGAACTGAACTGTTCCACTGTAGCAAGCCGGCAGAACTTGTAAAGTCCCAGCGCTCAGGAAGCACTGGCAGTTTCTATTCAGGACTCTGCAGTTTTTAGCATTGTAGTCAGGGTTAGGGGATAACCTCCCGACTTCTAGCACAGACCAGCCATTCTCAGTGACAAATGACAGATCTCTTGAGCAACCCTGTCTAGTGGGAGGTGTCCCTGCTGATGAAGGGGGGGTGAAAACAGATAATCTTTAATGTCCCTTCAAAAGGTCCAAGTCGAACCATTCTATGATTCCATTGACTCTATGTGCGTCCCAACATAACGTGTAGAAGCAGTCCCCATCTGGTTTTGCTGCCAGGCTGCAACTGCAAGGATTGATTTGCTCTAACACCTCCTGGCATCTGAGCACACGACATCTTTGTTACAGCCAATGATGAGCACATCACTGGGAAAGCTGTGGCACAGCAGTCCTCAGTGGGGGAGGCAAGTCATGTGGTGCTTGCTAAGGTCCTTTTCTCTTTGATCACTCCCTGTCCTGCCCACTGAACTGGTAGTTCAATAAACTAGATTAATTGACTTGGACCCTTTGGGAAGTCAGGCAGAGCACAAATCCACTCAGGTGGTGATTTTTTTGATGTGTGGCCCATCAACTACTTGGGCTAGAAACACTAGCACCTTTGTAAACAGTCCTTGCATTGATCTTGATATTTCTTTATGCATTAAGAATTACATCCATCAGGAAGTCTGCCCTGTGCCCAGCACAACAAAAATAACAGCAACAAACAATTTTCAACTGGCCCTCAACATTACTTCCCAAGGTGCTCTGTGGGAATGGTCAGTTTGGTTGTACTACTTGATACAGGGGAAAAGTGAGATGAAACAGAAAAGACCTGTTTGAGCTCACCCAGTAGGCCAGTATCAAACCTGAGATCAAAACTCAGGGTGTTCAGTAACAGGCGAGCCAGCATTCACTGCAGAGCAATGATGTTGCCCCAGGCAAGAGGGACTGCGAAGCAGGAAGATGATTCCTACCTCATCTTTCTACTCCCCGTGCCTGAAGACTGCTGGCCACAACAAGGGTCTGTGTCACAAACAGGGGGCTTTCAGGTTAGGAAAGCTCTACCCATAGTGTTCTCTCAGTATTCTGCACTTGCCCCTCTGATAGCCTGGTGCAGGGGGTGCAGGAGCAGCAAGGTGGGTGGAGGGTATGATCTGCCAAGGCTGAGGCTGCCTTGTGCTGGCATCCCGGTACAGAGTAGCCAGGACAGCATCAAACCCTGGCCTGCAGTGAGGACATGTCTGTCCCTTTCCTCAGTCTGCACCAGCCTTTTTCATCTATATATGAGCTAAAGCAGGAATATGGAGAGCTGAGGAGAATCCCTTCCCGAAGAGAAAAGGCAAAGTGCTTTGTCACTAGCAGAGAAATGGCAAACACCTATCTGTGCACACCAACAAGAAAACTCCTGGAACGGGGAGAATAAGGGTACAATATATTGTAAGGCTCTAAATAGCAGCTAAGGGAGAGCATATAGTTAAAAACTACACAGAGGCCCCCTGTCTTTAATGCTAAGGGGTGATATCTACAGCAGCCTCCTCTGCAAATAAATGTAAAGCCCAGGTAGTCATTCTGACTGGGTAATTCCTAATCTCCCTGACTGCAGAGACAGCATGGGTTTGGACACCCCTAGCCTGCTCACTCAGGAGAAGACTCTTTGCTTGGAAGGAAGCAAAGGAAGTATTCCAAAGCTGTCATCCCAGCATTTGCCAGAGGTTTCCAGATTTCATTCCTTCACGCTTGTGGGTCCAGGGTCAATGCAATGATGTTAAGCAACAGTGACTATTTACTGTAGCACCCGCTGCGAAGTACCAGTACCAACATGCTTTGCATTGCCAGGAAACCAGTGTTCCCAGCAACCTCAGGCTCCAGCCATCCTTCTGCAGCTGCCGGTTTGCACAGCTCCTCTCACAGCCACAGCCTGCATCCACAGCACTGCAGCATTTGTCCAGTTACGTTTCCTACCCACTGCGTAAATAAAGTGACAAGTGACTTGAGAGATGAAAGCCACATGCTGATGGGAGGAGGTAAACAGGGAAGAGACAGAAAATACGTCACAGCGCTCTACCCCTCCCCCAGCTCCTTTAGAAACAGAAGAACACAAAAGTCCCGATGCTTCAATTGCTAAATGACAAATTAACAAAGCAAAGCAAAGCAGGAGCAAAGACATCTCCCACAATCTGCACAGAAACAGCAAAATATACAATAGAAAATGTCACTAACACCCCATTCAGGCAGATGCACTTATTTTTTGTGAATGACAGGTTATTAAATTAAAACATTTTGACCACCGGTACTTTGCTGCATGGCTGTTCCCCTAGTTGTCATCTCCACACTAAGTGATCTTCTGCTTGATGCTGGGTGTTTCTGGCCTGTAGTCCTTCCTCTCCGAGACATTGCGTTTCACCTTGGCACTAACTGGAGACTCCTGATTCAATGAGGGACTCGAGTGAGATTTCTTCAATCCTGGTGCATCGTTCTCTCCGCTGCTCAGCAGGTCCTTCACCCCTTCTTTCAGGAGGCCAACGTAAATCTCATAGCGATTTTTCTGGGAAATGAAAAGAAAGACCTGAATCACTCTGAAATAAATTCTGCAGAAGCATCTGAGAGACCATCTGGGTAACTTAACAGCTTCTGTCGGCCTGGAGAAGCCAAGAGCCTAATAACGATGCGAACAATGGTGCCTGATATGGACATGAACAATGGTAGCTAATGGAAATTAGGCTGTATAAAAAAGGACTCCAGGCAGGGCGAGCCCGGGGTGCTGAGCGATGAGAGGCACTCTGCTCTGCAGCACACAGATCCCAGTGGCTCTGCTGCGTGGTGCCTCGCGGGGAGCTGAAGCAAATGGTGATTCCTGAGTAACAACACTGAGCAAGAGCTTGCTGACCTTTGTCACCCAGAGTCACATTCCGTGCTCACACATATTGAGAAGTTCTGTGCCCTATGCAGGCATGAAGGGACAACAAAAACCCTGCCTCCCTCCACTCCCACCATCAGGCCTTGGTTCCTTTGCCCACAGGGGGAGAAACCAAAGTTGGGTCCTGCTAGGCTGGGACTGCAGCAGCTTGGCCACCACTAAGCCCATAAGAGGATGCTCTGCAAGGCCAGAGCCAGCTCCCAGGATTCGTTTAATAACCTGCCCCTCACAGAGCCACTGAAGACATGGTGCAGGCATTGTAATTAAGGTGATCAGAGTGGGCTGGGGACCAGGAAAGGAGGACATAAACATCCATACTGACTGTTAATTTAGATTTCAAAGTGGCAAAATACTTGCCAAACTATTATGTTCCTGATAGAGGAAAAGGTATTGAAGGAAAATTATTCCAATTTTTAATCAAATAATGAAGTTGTGATAATAACTCTTACTCGAGGGCAGGAAGTCAAAAAGCTTGGTAACTGCTTTGAAGTCTAGAATATAAAAAGGGGGAAAAAAAAGAAAAAGTGAGAACGCGACTGGGTTTCCAAAGAGTCCTATGAATAAACAAAACCTTCTCATAGAGGAGGATCATGAAAGAATACACCTAAAACTGAAGTAAAATGCATTTTTATCCATTCCATATCTGGAGCTCCAGATCCACAATGCAAGGAGAAACACAAGAAGCAGATAAGATCTGTCATTCAGAAAAAAATGAAAAGAAGAAACAGCAAGCAGAACCCTGATGATGGTGCACTGGGCTGATAAATGATTCATCACACAATGAACGGGACACCTCTGCAAAACAAAAGTCAAGCCAGTGCTCTAAGCCTGGGATCAGCATAATATTAATCCAGGGAGAACAGGACTTAATTGCCATATGGACTTCTGCTTTTTGTTGGTCCAGTAAACACCACCAGGCAAGACCTGTCAAACAGAATGGAAACCCAGGACCAGTTTCTGCCTTGCTTGCCTGTCAATGGCTATTTTCCCTTGGACTTTATGGTCCCCTGATTTCTATTGCTATTAAGCAATGTGCTTGGGAGTTTCTATTTTGATTTCAACTGCAACAAACTTGCTCTTTTAGTAATCTGACATTTGAAGCTAGGTATTAAAGCTGGTGGAAATTTTTTCCTTAAAATAATCTGGAAAATTCTGTCCAGAAACTGAAAATACAAAAGTTAAAACCATTCAAAAGCTTTTGCAACATTATCTCTGAAGACCAAATGCCCATAATAAAGAGGAGATGAGGCACATCCAACAAATTTCTAGCTTCACCTCCCACCTGACAGCACTCCTTAACAACAAATTTGCTGCAATGAGCAAACATCACATCGAGCAGACAGCTACTCCTCAGACAGCTATCAAAGAGAAAATGTTCCTTCTTGGTGTCTACAAGCAAAGACACTAGCAAAAAGAAATGCTCCTGGTTGCATCCCTGAATGAACTGAACGACCACCTCCCCCCAGAAGGAAATGCCATCTCACTTGTCTTTCAGGGAAGAAAAGGCATTACAAGGTCCTACAGAAAAGGAATCTGGCTTCTTCCTAATGAGACTATTACTGGGACTACTCTGCTATCTTTGGGACTTGGAGTGTGCTTCTGGAGATACAGCAGCATGGCCCTTTCTACACAGATACAAGGTCTGATCTCCAGGTTCAGCCTGGAAGAGCCAAGTGTGAAATTCTGCATCACCTGCCTCTCGCCCTTTTTTTTGATCCCATGCAGCAAGGTCCACCACCAGCTCCTGCCTGACCCTGACAGGACTTTGTTCTGAAGAGAAGGTGAGGAAACTCCAACACTGGGAGAAAGTCTCCAGTTTCCATTCAGGATTTTCATGTAGCTCATCTATTTATCATTATTATTTTCTTTTTACTGCCTATTTTAGGTTTACTGCCTATATAGTTCAACATGGCCTACAAAATCTGTGCCAGTTGTGAAGGTAACACAGCATTACACTGTCTCTCACACACTACTGAAGCTGGTGCCACCACCTGCCTGCCTAGGCAGGCATTCCTTTGAAACACACAGTTCTGTTCAAGGCTCTCATTAGAGAAGAAGACATCTTTTGTTTCCTGGGCTGCACCGGTTCTGCTTTGGGCTGAGGTACTTGACTAATATTTCTCTAAAGACCTGCATGATAAAATTGACAGAAAACAGAAAAAACCCACTATGGTCTACCTCTCCATCAATCTTTCTAATATCAACTAAAACTCCAGCCTATGTTTCATCCCATCTCATCATACTGCTAGAAGCAACAGAAAATAAACTTTGTGTCACAGACCCAAAGCCAAGAAAATCTTTATTTTCCCAAGTTGCACAAGACCCCTACAGAACTCACCTGTGGCTTGCTCTGAACATCCTGTATTCAAAACGGATGTCGTGCTGTTGATCATAACCCCTTGATCTCAATTGTTCAGCCTGTTTGAAAACTACCTATTGACTTCCTAGTCCACACTTTATCAGCTTGTCTATGAGAATGTTAGAGGACACCAAGTCAAAATCCTTATTCAAGTAAAAAATAAACAACATCCACTGCTCTCCCCTCATCCATCACACCTGACATTGCACAAGCTATCATGTTGGTCAGGTGTGATTTCCTCTTCACAAAGCCATGCTGATTACTCACAATCACCTTATATTTAATGTGTTCAGAAGTGATTTCCAGAAGAATTTGCTCTGTCACCTTCCCACAGAGAGAGAAGCAAGTGACAAGCCTGTAGTACCCTAGACCTTCCTCCTTGCCTTTCCTGAAGAGAAGAATGACATTTGCTTTCCTTTAGTCCCCAGGGACCTACTCTGATCACCATGACCTTTCAAACGTAATAAAGAGTGGTCTTGCAGTGATATTATCCAACTTCCTCAGTGCATCCCATCAGAACCCACAGACTTGCATATGTCCAGTTTAAATATTCCCTGACTTTATCATCCTTCATCCCAGGGTATGTCTCCCTTACTCTAGATTTTCTCACTGGGCTTGTGTTTTTGTGACTGCTGAAGGCTGCTGGGTTTACCAGAAGAGACCCAGACAAAAAAGACACTAAGTACCTTGACCTTTTCCATCTTTTCCTCAGCTGTTCTGCTGATAACATACCTGTAGAAACCTTTCTTCTTGACCTTTACATCTTTCGTCAGATTCAACTCCACAGGGGCTTTGGCTTTCCTAAACATGATGCTACATGCTTGGACAGTGTAACCTGCCACTGCCTCCACTTCCTGAACTCTCCCTTTTTATGGTAGAGTTTGGCCAGCAGCATCTTCTTCATCCATTAAGGCCCTCAGCCATCTTTGCTTGGTTTCTTGCGTGTCAGGGTGAACAATTTCTGAGCTTAAAGGACATGGTCCTCAAAGAGTTACCAACTCTCCCAAAGCCCTCTTCCTCCCAGGGCCGTATCTAATGGGATTCTTCCAAGCAGTTCCCCAAATAGGCCAAAGCCAGTTCTCCTGAAGTCCTGTATTGTGATTCTCTCCTTTCAGGATCATGAAGTCCAATGTCTCATAGTCATTGCTGCCATGGTTGCCCTGACCCTCATACCCCCAACCGGTTCTTCCTGGTTTATAAGCCCTTCCTGGTATGCTCCTCTGTCATCTGTGTTAGGAAGTTGTGGTCAATGCACTTCAGAAGCATTCTGAATTGCCTCTGCCCTGCTGTTTTGTCTCTCCTTCAGATACAAGGGTGGTTCGAGCTCCTCCTAAGGACCAGGGTGTGCAAATACAAGTTTTCTTCCAGTTTTCTTGAAAAGGACAAGCAGACAGCCAGCACAGCAACACCCATCTTGGTGTGCCTTCTAATCCTGACCCACAAGGTCCCAGATGGCTCATTACCCTTCCTTAGGCAAAGTTTCATGTGTGCCTGTTACTGACTCATGTAAAGGGTGAGCCCTCCTTCCTGCCATCCCTGTCTTTTAGAGGAGCAGTATCTTCAGAACATACCAATGGAAGTCAATTATCCTGATACACATTACTGCAAAATGCAATCTAGGGAGGTTCTCCTCCCCTTCTACTCTGCCCTGGTGAGACCACACCTGGAATTTTGCATCCAGTTTTCAGCTTCCCAGCTCAAGAGAGACAAGAGATCTACTGCAGAGTCCAATGGAGAGCTACAAGGATGATTATGGGATTTTTAACATCTCTGCTGTGCAGAAAGGCTGAGAGAACTGTGGCTGTTTAGTCTTGAGAAGAGAAGGCTGAGATGGGACCTTATTCATGTCTATAAATATCTGAGGGGTGGGTGTCAAGAGGAAGGGGCCAGTCTCTTTTCAGTGGTGCCCTGTGATAGGACAAGGGGAAGCAGCTCCAAGTTACAGCACAGGAAACTCCACCTCAGCATGAGGAGAAACTTCTTTCCTGTGAGGGTGACAGAGCACTGGAACAGGCTGCCCAAAGATTTTCAATACCCATATGCATTTCTGTGTGACTTGCCCTAGATGGTCCTGCTCTGATGGGAGGGTTGGACTAGATGATCTCTAGAGGTCTCTCCCAACCCCTAACATTCTGTGATTCTATGACTTTGTAAAGACACTAGGCAACACATAGTCTTACAACAGCTTTCCTGCCTGAAAGCCTCATTATCTCTTCAAACAGAAAAATCTGGGAAGGACAAAGGGTTACATTTTTATTCTCCATTTTACAGATGAGAAGCTCAATTCATGGCTCAAGTCACAGGAAATCCTCTTCAGCAAGAGGAGCCCCATCCCAGCTTCTGGAATTGCTGTGACATATCTAACAAGAACATACTCCTCGGTGAAGTAAGGTGAAAAACACAGAACTTCAGGGCTGTACCTGAAGACCAGCTGTCCCATCCACACCCAAACTGAAATCATAACGTTTCCCATACATACCTCAAACTCCAGATAGTGGTCCTTCAGTTTGTAATCATCTACTTCCTTGCCTTTGAGCTTCTTGTCAGGAGGATAGGAGCGATGTTCAGCAAGCTCAGTAGAGATCTGCTTCAGCTTAGCTTCATGGGACTTTAGCTGTTCATCCTTCAGAAACATATTATGTTACAGAATCTAAAATACTTGATAAGCAAAGGAAAATCAAGAAATCTCCCTGTACAATAACACCAAGTATATTATTTTTCTTTCTCTCTTTATTTCCTTTAATTTAGATTTATGTCTGTTGTCCCAGAGCTCTGACCCCAGCAGCTCTCTCAAAGGCACCCAAGCAAAGTGTCCAAGTTTGCAGAAAAAACCAGCAGCTAGCAGATGCCACTGGGAAGGATAGCAAACCTGTCATCCCTTGCCTTGCCTTGCTGAGAGCAATGGAAGCAGCTTGCTGCAGAGCACTAATGACAACATGACAGTTCTGCTCCAATACATTTTTTGGCAAATTAATTAAGGCTGTTGGATGCAGTCAGAGCAAGGGCAGAATGAGACACGCAAAGACCCTGCCTCAGGCCTTTGCAATGTAGAGATAGCTTCACTGAGGACAGAAAGAACTTGGGAACCCCTCCTTCCGTTTCTGTACCACCAAACACCCTCTAGTCTGCAGATTCCATTTGTTCAGAATAATACAATGCATCCAGAAGAGGAAGGGCTGTGCAGTCCCCAAAAGGTGTCTCATTTTGCTAAGCTGCTACCGTCTTTTATCCCACTGTACAGCTGGAGAGAGTGAGGAGCTACTACTTCCCCTTTCTAGGCAATATCCTTTATCATAATCCCAGGCCCACTCACTTCCTCCAGCCCATCTGTCAGCTAACCTTCCCTCAGCTCAGAAGGTTTCTAGCTCCTGCAGCATGGCCTTCTGGCCATTTCTAGGCTTGGATCTCAAATTAGGTTTGAATTAGGTCAGTCAAAAATATCGACATGATCATGCAGATCTCAGTGACTTAGCCAGAGACATAACAGCAGGTAGCACCCAGCCTCAGCAGAGGGGATAGCTGCCAGGAGCTGTCCCCAAGTGCTGTGTGGCTGTGCAGCTTGTAGCTTCAAGCCCAGCCCAGACATGCCAGCACTGCACCGAGTCACACCAGGCACTTTGCTCCTCAGCTCACTGAGCTGGAGCTGCAGAAAGGAGCAGAAACGGGTAAAATTTCTACAGAGAAAGACAACAGAGCCGCAGCTAATTTTGTGTTTCAACTCTTTTTCAAGAGAACCGAAGATACATGGATCTATATACATGGTAGGTCTCAAGCCACCTGCTACTGGCTGCCAAAAATTCTTGTTCCTGTTAGTAACTACAATGGATCTGCCTGCTCTATCTACTAGTGCCCAATCACCCTTTATGTTGTCCTGAATCCCCCACCCCAGTGACATCCTGCTGCATGAGTTCTACCACCTGATGACAGGAGGTCTTTGAGCAGCTATTAATTTGGCACCTATAATTTCCAGGGCAGCAGCCCTTTGGAGCTTTTCTATGTGTATGCGCATGCTCAGAAAAAGAGAAAAAAAAAACCCTACCAGATCTTTCCTAGACTCGTTGTTCCTTTATATATTTAGCTTTGTCACATCCCTCCTTGGTTGGACTAACCAAGATTAAACAATTATCTGCTTTTGAAAGTGCAGTTGGTATAATGATCTTGAACAACCTGTCATGTCCAGCACATGCTAGGTTCTCACTGCATCCTGAATTCTGCTTGACCAAGAACAGCCCCTTTGAAGTACCGTCCATCATGATTCAGCCCACAAAATCCTAACCAGCAACTACAGGGATTTGACAATTTGTATATTTTTGTCTGCCAAACAAGAGGCAGCCTGCTGGCAGCTTCTCCACACTGACAGATAAAAGCGGACATGTTTCTGCTTGCCTTTGAATTTATCTGCTTTGAACACTTAACATTCTTCTGCCTTTAGCTAAAACAGCTTATCTTATTCCACTTTTCGTGTCTCCCCTTCTTCAAGATACAAATCACAGGGCTTTATTCTATTTTTTTCCTTTCCAGATTGAACTGAAACAATGAGACTAGGAGACAAGGTGCTGAAGGGAATAATCACACAGAGCAGCGATGATAGAAAAGACATTTTTTTTTTGTGACTGGGCGTAAATTATTGAAGTAACATTACAATATTTTAAAAAAGGTATGCATGAGCAAAGGGTAAAACCACAAGGATGAGACAAGTTAGTGCATTCTGTAGGAAACGCATTTCAAACTTTAACCCAGAATAGAAGACAGAAAGTCGGTCACCACGTTGTAAGAAGAAAAGCTACTGACACAGATAGGGAAGAACGCAGGGGCAACATAAAAAACCCCACATCCTTAGAGAAATGCAGATTGTGAGATAGTGGTTTCTAAGGAGTGTTGCTAAGCTATGAAGATGGGGGGGGGGGAAAAAAAAAAAGAAGCCTTTAAGAAGCAATCCAGCATGGGCAGATTACTTTAAAACCTACAGAAGGTTCATTGTACTGCATACACCTCTGCCAATCTGTCAACTTGATCAATGCAATAAATATTGTGTTCCTGACAGTGCAGGAGGTATTGCAGGGATGCATCACAGCTCTCAAAGTACACAGAGCCATGGGCACAAGCATCAGACGCTGCCACTCTGAAACAAGCAGAAATTTATGTTTTTTCATGCATGAAGTAGTAGAGCTGAGAAACTCCCTGCCCCCACAACATGGGATGTTGTGGAAGCTCAAAGCTCCTGTGGTCACCGGGGGATACCAAAAACATTTAAGTGAGAAACAGTTTATAAATATACATTAAACTAAAAATCCCTGAGCTGACAAGGACTGGAGTCTGAGTAAGTATTGTGAGAGAAATATAATTGATGCTTGCCTGATGCATCGGCTTCCACCTTTTATCACCCCAATAAGCCAAATACCAGGAGTATGTCCATTTCTTCTAAAATGAGTGGCAATAAACACCCAAATTCAAAAAAACACCAGTCAGACTATGTTTGAAATGTGCTGTGCAGAACCATAACCACAGGATGAAAATTCTGTATATGGTACTAGAAACACTGGTGATTGCTTCTTTTCTTCAAAAATACAGAGCAATTATATTAAAAGTCTGCTCCTTTTCTCTCCCCCTACTTCAAATCCTGCACCAGAAAATGAGCAGAGATTTATTACACAAGTCCCCTGCTCCTAGAAATGCCAGTGGCAACAGCCACAAAATAATGCCAAGGACCACTGTCCAGTCTCCAGCCAACCAGAGAAATTGACAACACCTATCCTCTATATAAAAACAGCTTACCTGAGATAGCTTTGTTGTGGTGGCTGGCAGAAGTGGTCGACTGAACTTCTTCTGAGATCCAATGGCTGCTGGAAATGGTGGTGCAGAGAAGACAGCAGCCACACAGTTAATCTTGTTGATCCAGGTCTGCATTTCTTCTTGGTTCCTGGGGAAGAAACACATATAAAGCAACTGTTGACTCAGACTCCTCTGCTTCTTTCCCACCCTTCCGATGCATTTTAAAAGCAAGAATAACCAGAACTGTGCAAGTCTTCTGGTCTATCTTTGCAAACAGGTAGTGTATGGTATCTCAGTCACAGGCTGACTTGTGATTAGGTCCATAACTCACCAAGCAAGTATTTTTTCTTAATCCAATCCAAATAACACAGACAACAGAGCAAACCAATGCCTTGATTCAGACATATGTCCTAAAGTCTCAGCTGTGCTCTGGAAATGGGGCTGCAGAGAAGACAGCAGCCACACAGTTAATCTTGTTGATCCAGGTCTGCATTTCTTCTTGGTTCCTGGGGAAGAAACACATATAAAGCAACTGTTGACTCAGACTCCTCTGCTTCTTTCCCACCCTTCCGATGCATTTTAAAAGCAAGAATAACCAGAACTGTGCAAGTCTTCTGGTCTATCTTTGCAAACAGGTAGTGTATGGTATCTCAGTCACAGGCTGACTTGTGATTAGGTCCATAACTCACCAAGCAAGTATTTTTTCTTAATCCAATCCAAATAACACAGACAACAGAGCAAACCAATGCCTTGATTCAGACATATGTCCTAAAGTCTCAGCTGTGCTGGACACCACAGATCTCTAGGAGTTTTCACATGGATCTGAGTAGAAAAGGGCTCATGCAAAAAACTGATGCACAGGTTTTTAATGTCAGCAGCAAAAGACAGGTCATCTGTTCTGTCTGGATATCACAGCCTGAATAACTTAATAAAATTATTCTTGTATTAAGTACTAACTTTGTTTCTGACCAAAGCCTATCTTCTTGAAAGACATCCAGCTGGGACCTGATGACATCAGGAGACAGAGAATCCAAGACTGCCTTTGGTCATTTGTTTCAGTGATTAATCACACTGACTGTTAAAAGTTTGTGTCTTGTTTCCAAATTGAATTTCCTGCAGCTTCAGCTTCCAGCTGCTGCATCTTGTTATGCCTTTCTTGGTTAGATTAAAAAGCCTCTTAAAACATGATGTTTCTTTCTCTACTTGTGCACTCTAATCAAATCACTACTTAATCTTATTACTGATCAAATAAACAGATTGAACCCCTTAAGCTTCTGCTTTAACCTGTCCAGGCATAAATTTATCCCTCCTTCTGCACTGTTTTCTTTCCTCAATGATTGGCACAAATCAGAAGAAAGCACTTACTGGGCTTGGAAAAGCAGGACCCTCCAATCTGCTGTTTTAAGCTTGAGGACATTGGGTTTCTTCTCATAGTCTGTTGCCTTGGATGCCAGCGCATGATGCACACTAACTGCATTCTTCAGATCTTCCTCTGACAAAGCCTTTTCTGGCTTATATTCATCCTGCAGGATTTAACAGGGGAAAATGGCACCTTACTTCTTGCATGTTCTACTCCTGTTTCCCTAACCAAGAGAAAACTTTGTTCATAGTCAGGAATGGTATTAAAGTGTATGAACTGAAAGCAACCTGACTGGACCAACTGCAGTTTCAATTGCTTTTAGCATATTTTCCTTTCTCTTTCATTTTCTCTTTTTTGATCTCTTCACAAGGACAAGAAGTAGTTCCACTTACTTGCTTGACAAGAGGGGTAAACAGGGAGTATTCTATTATCACAACAGCTGTGGGCCATTTGTCTTAATTTCAGGAATCTTTCATTGCCAGTTCCCCACCCTCACTGCTCAGCTGCTGGTTCCTGCTTGGGCTCTCAGCCTCCATTACTCCATTTTTACTTTTCTCAAACAACCACCTCTCTATGTCCTCCTAGGCAGGCCTTCACACAGTGGAGAAGCCTCCTTACCAGTCTCCATAAAGCAAATATAGCAACCTCCTTTAAATCTGCCTGCTCAGGGTCTGCAAATGGCAAGCACAGCACCATCCAGGTGTTTGACACAACAGTACCACTCCTAACACCAAATGACAAAAGTAGTGAGTCAGACTCCTCTGTGTTGCAAGCCTAAGCCTGGAAGCAGTCTCTGATCTTCTGAGTGACAGAAGCTGGATGAGGGCACAATCATGGTGTAGCCATAAGTTCAGTTTAAAGCCCACCTGACTATAAATGTCTTGGGAAAGCGAAGAGCTTTTTCAAGGAAAAGTCACTTGGCAGTAAAGCTGCATTTGCAACATTTCTGAGTGAGACGTCAAAGCAGTCTGCAACTGACTCAATTTCTCCCCTTTAGCACATCACAGAAATCAGTCTCATCTGAGACACCCACCAAGGGAGGGGGTATGATGGCTGCAAAACAGAGGAATAATTCCCTGTAGGTATGACAACTGTTGATCCCTTCACTTGAACACAAGAGTTAGGAGATGGGGTTTAGCAGGCAACAGAGTGCAGGATGCACAGCACATGCAGGGACAGCACTAGCTTAAACAACCAGAGAAGCACCCACACTGGAGAAGAGCTGCTTAACATGCATGAACTGGTCTACAGAGCTCATCTGGCAGCACACAGACCAAGGCTGCAACTAGAAGCAATTACACCTCAGCTGTGCTCTTGGCCAGGCTGGGTTCCGTCAGGGCTCTCCAGGATGATTTTCACAGGATGGGGAGTCACCAGCAGTGGTGAACACCTCTCAGAAGGGAGGACAGAGCATCTTGCTCCTCTACCATATCTCATCCTATCTCACAGAGGTTCAGCTAGTGCTGCTCAGACACTTTACCAGAAGAGATGCAGCTAACCAGCAATACAGACCAGCAATACAGCTAATTGCAGCACCACCTCCACTTTGGGTAAGACAAGGGCACAACCCAGCACAGATCTGGAAGGTCTAGCAGAAAGACAGAGCACTGCTGCACAGATGACCAAAGGGTAGCATCCAACCTGAAATTGGGGGTTATCAGGGTCTGGTACTGAGTGAAGCCCTATGTCCTTCCTCTCTCATAGTTTAAATCACAGCTAGCTTTGGAGGGATCTCCGTATCTTGACAGGGTTTGCCTGCTCCTGCTTAGGGCACTCTCTAAACCTTCTTTAAGAAAGATTTGGGAAAGTGCCTAGCCAAAGGACAAGAAGTGGAGGAAGCTGTCCAATATCTGGTCCAGCCTCATCTTGAAGACGGAGAAAGCAAGCCCACAGGTCAAGTCCTTTAGTTCAAAGGTTCAAAAGTTCTTTTATTTGGTGGTAGTATTTGGGGGGAAATGACTGGCTCCGCTGTCCAGGGAGACTGGGAAGACCTCAGCGCCAGGAAACAAACTTAGGCCTCAGAAATATGATACTCTAGCTTTCCTCGGGGTAGTGCTGGAGACACTGCCAGCTATCACCTTGCCTGTTGCCTCCCAGCTTCCTCTGTGAGAGGCATCCAATGTCCACAACCCTCTCTGGTGTCTAAGCCTGTTCCAAAAGAGCTCCACATTTGGGCAGTCCCAGAAGCAGTCCTGGCTGTGAACCTCTAATTTACCAAGAAAGAGCATTCACAATAATCCTTGCTAATCCCATCAGATCAGCTGGCAGCAACCCACCTTGACAGCTGGGGCTCTGCCAGCTTCTCCAGAGGCACAGATCAGCATACCGGAAATGCCTCCGCATAGTTGGCCAGCTTCAGAGAAAGCTGGAAGGAAGTGGATGTGCTGTCAAAATTCCTACTCTAAGGCCTCCGACTCCTTTCAACAGGCTGGCAATGCTAGGGGAGCAGGAACTTCCATATATCCTATGACATCAAGAACAGAATGTGCTCTGCTGTGCTTGAGCACACGTGTGGAGGTTGAACTGAAATGGAAGGCAGCTCACTCAAGTTGGACCAAGACAGGGGCAAGAAATGTATGAGGAGCCAGAAAGGAACTGTGACCTTTCCATCAACTGAAGGCTGATGTGAGTGCTGCACACAACGCAATGACATGCTGAATTAATCTCAGGCTCCTGGAGAATGACTTTCCCACATCCTGCTCACCGGGAGTCAGCATGTTTCTAAATCTGGTTTTGATAGACCAGAGAATGGCATTTGGCTTTTAATCAGTCAATGCACCGTGGGTGGGTATCTCTGCTCGGCTGCATGTGATGGCTGCAATAGTATCTTTCAGAGAGTCTCATTACCAAACACTTTACATCATCCTGGCCTTTCACTCTTTTATATTTTAATAGAGGAAACACAACTGAGAAAACGTACAGAAGAATACCTGAAAGTGTGCAAGACTAAAGTGAGAAGATGTTGCAAACCTCACAGAAGAGTCCAAACAAAACACCAAGGTCCATGTCCTGCACACAGAAGCAGTTTTTAGTGAGGAAGTGAGGTCAGCCTTACACCCTCTCCTTATAAACCCCTCTTCTGCACACACATCAAATCCCATGTCAGTCTAGTGAACAGACATTCTGTCAAACTCCTACTTTGCAATCTCCTTTTGCTATGAACAGAGGATGGGAAATTAACCTTGGCCTGAGGATGCCCAGAGACAGGGCCAACGTTCCAAACATGTCAAACCTCTCATTTCACATAATGCTGTGCAGGCATGTTTAGTTGGCTAATTGTGAACGCCCCTCTGGTGGCCTCTGGGCTCACTAACGCAGCAACTATCTCTCTCTTGAATCACCCATTTAAAAATAAAACCATATGCAGCACAAGAACTAGCATTGGAACAGTTTCAATGGAAAAAAAACAGATAAGCTCCCCAGTAAGTCTCAAGTGACCACCATTTACAAACCATGCTCATACATGGACTTTAACAACAAAACAGGGAGAACTGGACTGGTGTGCAAACAGAATGACACCAGAATTGGGATCACACTGCCCACTGGGGGAATCGCAGCTGCTACAATCAATTAATGTTCATATTACAGTTGTGTCTTGAGGGAATAGCTGAGTTACAGATAAATAAAGGAAAAAGCAACAGTGCAGAGGTCTGTACATCTATTTTTGTGTATACAGCACCTACAGCAGTGAGGTATCTCTCTCCTCTGCTTGGATAGCACCTGGTGCAATGAAACCATAGTCATAGATGTTATCTCCACAGATATATAGTAATATACAGATGATGAGAGAAGGAGGGAAAAGGTGTGTGCGCATACGTGAGTGCACCCTGCTCTACAGTACCCTGTAATCAGAACAGAAGGCAAACAGAGGCAAGGAAATCCTTTGCCTATGTCTACGGCCAGACCTATGCATTTCTACAAATAAATCAAGCTGTTCCAAAATTTTCCTGAACTTTCTGAAATTATGGTCTCCTGGTATACTGCAAAAGGAAACAAGAGCTCAGCAACTTTTAGATCTTGAACTAGCTGCGTATTTGAAGAGCCTGGCACCTTCAACTTCTGCTATGCCACATCCCTAACAGAGCAAAGTTTATCACAGGGCTGAAGTCAAGCCCTCCTGGACCTTCTGGAGCTGAAGATAAATCAGAGGTTGTTTCACAGCAGCAGCACAAGACATTGTAACTGAGAAGGGGCCAGAGGCAGCCTGGGAAGACTCACAGCTGCCCCATTACTCTGCAAATGAGTCACTTCCCACAGGACCCTTTGCCAACCTTTTAAGGCACTGAAGTACAAGTCTTGCTTGTCACTGCCCTATATTAAGATGGCTTCCCTGCAAGTGTCTTAAGGACCAAGCAGGAGGAGAGTGCAGCTTTGTGGAGTAACCACCCTGTAAACACTCTGTAATTCAAGTGCTGTGAAAAGTGCAAGACATGCAAATAACAAACAAATAAGAGAAAGAACTCCAGCAATGCACTCCTTTCTGCAAAGATGCAGTCAGATGTGAAATTACTCTTTTGCTCTCCAAAGGATGGAAGGTGAGAGTGGGGAGAGCAACGTTCTGTAGAAAATTTGCATGCTATACCAGTGTCTCCACATTTTGTCACACACAAAGTGCTTTAAACTAATATGCCAGTGATAGTAATAAGAGTATTTAATTAGGACTCTAAAATGGACAGCATCTCAATTTCTTCCCTTTGAAAGCTTATCAATCCTCCGTCAGAAATAAAGTAAGAAATTAATTCATGTGTTATGGACAAGGAGCCTTGTTATTTCTTAGGGAACCATGCTGTCTTTTCAAGTGACAACTAAACATGACTTATTTCAGAAATAAAAGCAGGTGACTCCATTTCACCCAGAAAAGGGCAAACACAAATCTACGAAGGCTACATCAGTAAAAGTGAGCCTGCAGCCAGCAAAAGCACCAAAGAGGAAGATCATCCGTGATTCAGTAGACTTGATTCTAGTCTCTTGCACTCTTTTAGCCATGTCACATGAACTTTCAGACCTAATCTTCCCTCCCAACTGCAAATGGTTTTGGCAGTTTCAGGATTTCAGCCTTGTCTAAATGGTACTGCCCCCAGAGCATCCACCTTGTAAACCCCATGCTGCAACAATTTGATCCAAACCACTCTCTCCTCTCAGAGACCATCCATGTTGGCTTCAATTACACCAGCTTCAGAAAGCCCCAGCAGGGGAGGAGGGAACAGCACTAGGCACTTGAACCTGCACACCTAATGTTTGCAAAACACAGTGGAAATGTAAAAAGGCTTTCAAAGGAGCATTACTTCTACAATACAGGGCAGTGTGGACAAACACCACCTATTTCACTAATAGTTCACCTATGCTGGGGGGTAAAAAGCCTTAATCTACTCAGCTGCCACCATTTATTTGATTTTGACAGTTCTCAGACATATGCTCCACTTCACCTCCCAAGAGAATAGGTAAAACTGTGCTACAGGACAATATATTTAAGCTTATGCCAAAAGACTTGAAGAGTTTTAGCTGACATTTTTTTAGACTTTTTGCTGTCAGGGAGTAAAGTTTGTTAGAAACCAGTGTCTCATCTTGCATTGGGGAAGAAAAATAATTATCCCTTAATTTTGCTATGGAGCAGAAGCTGCAGATTCCTACCAAGGTGAAGCTGCTGTTCAATTGTTTTGCAGCTGGTCTTGTAGGCATTGCAGAAAAGTGTACTATCAAAAGATGGAAAATGAGGACAGCCTTACAGGAGGGGAAGTCATATGTATGAAATGCAATGTTAAAAGCAGCCTAGAGGAATATGTGCAAGACACAGATTATGCTGTCTTTGCTGATGAAGGTGGTTATTTTTTTCAGCCATGAGTGACAGCAATAGTATAAAGTGGAATTGCTAGGGTGCACATGTGGATGGGAACAATGGAACTGGATGTGAAAGTGTGAAAAGGGGGAGTGTGTCAATGAAAGGATTCATGCCTGAATGTGTGTACAAACAGGGTGGGGGGCAGGGAGTGCAGCTACACAGTGTGTAGGAGTGAAAGGAGCCTGGAGGTGGGCTGTGAGAGCACGAGGATGCATACTGCTTTATCCGTCTTTAATTAGTTTCCAAAAGACAGTAATTTCCCCTACCTTCTGCAAGTACAGGACTGTTCCCTTCAGCACAGCATAAAAGGTTTTCCAGCCTCGCTTTCCCCGGGGAGCTGCAAGGAAAACAAATGAAGACCCATTTAACTCAGATCCATTTTTACACTTTGTCTAGGCAACAGGAGAGCTACATCAGTTCTGTGTTAAACCTTCTTTGTACTCTGCTTTTCAAAGGACAGGGCAACTCAGCATAGTGCCTGCACATACCTGCTGTGCAAGAGAGTAATAAAACAACCCTGACGACAGCCCTGGACTGGATCAGAAGGGAACTGCAGCAATGCAGAAAGCAGGCCAAAGAGATCCAGTCTTTGTGCTCTTGCAGGTAGGTGGACACTGACCCTACGAAGCTGTGTCTGAGCTCTGCGCCATGGCAGAGTTTTCAGAAGGGAACTCTCTTTCACCATGCCACAGCAGGCTGGCAGGCACAGCCCAGGACCAGTGGAGCACTGCTCAGAAAGCAGTGCCTCTCAAAAGCATCCTTTCCCTTGGCTGCTGATGCACACCCAATTTGGCACTGAGTAGTCAGATGGCTTCTTGGTCCCTTCCCCTATTCCTGCAGATGCAGGGAAGCTGAAGAAAAGAAAGGAGAGGGGAGCCAAATCCTAAATAAAGAAAAAAATCAGCCCTCAAGAAGCAGTTAGACGCTGCAGAGCATAACAAAGACAACATACCCAGCCCACAAATTCCTAGAAACAAGCAGTGGAGAAAAAAAAAAGATATTTAAAAAAAAAAAGAAAAAGAAAAACAAAGAAAAAAGAAAAGGAAAAAAGAGAGGGGATTAAGCATGAAGTTTCCAATTTGATATTCAGCTACAACAGAGGGAGAAAGCACAGACTGTACAGTCCCAGTGCCAGAGATCAGAAGCCTGATCATTCACCGAGCATGCACCACTGACCAGCATCCACCTGCCTCTACACTGAAATTAATAACCCATGCACAACTAAAGCATCACCCTCAGAAAGGCATCCCATTCTGATCTTAAGACAGCAAGTGATGGTGAAGAGGCTATTAGTGCCTTGCTCCAGAGGTTAATCATTCTCATCTCAAACAATGGGCCTTCTTTCTAATTGGCATTTGTTCAGTTCAGCTTCTACCCACTGGCCCCTGTTACGTCCTCTCCCCTAGTCTGCCTATGTGCTTTAGCACTCAATACTCTTTTCCTGAGTAAATACATATAGCAGGCTAGCACACCACTTCATTAGCAATCTCATACAAGCTGATCTCTGCTCTGCAACAATTCCACTAGGAAACTGAATATGAAAAGGTCTAACTAACTTTTAAAAGATGAGCTTTACTTTACTTGCAACTGGAAAGCCAGAATGTAACTTTTTCAAGAGCTGCATGACAATGAGAGACAGACCTCTTGGACGAACAGAAACTTCTGAAAACATGGCCTTAGTCACATTACTTGTAAAAGTAATCTTCAAAATGACAACGTTCAGTGTGCTGAATAATAAGCAATTCAGATGACTTATAATTAAAGAAATAATTTACTAAAGGCAACTAGATACAATAATTTATTAAGGTTAAATAAGCAGACTTTTAATAGAGAGGAAACTATTCAGAGAATCCAGCCATCACAAAGAATGAGGTCAGTTGGATTTCGACATCTGTTCGGATTTTGTTACTGAGCTGTCAGCCTCCAGCTTGAAAACACCAACCTCCAATTGTACCTTCTAAAATATACTAACAAGACATGTGAATACCAAAGAGCTTAGCTCAGCTATGGGACACCCATCACAATGACAGACTTTGCCTTCAGGATTCAACCCAACAGCATGAACCATGGGTGATGATCATCAACAATGATCAGGGAAAATAGAGATGCTCTGAGTAGACTCTGCTGCTTCCAAGAACATCAATAGAAAACAAACAAATGAAGATGTCCAAGCAGCCAAACATACACAGGTGAATAAGAAGCCTTCAATAATTAGTGTACCACAAATGGAAGTAGGACAAGAAGTAGTGAGGATAATTATAGTAAGGAAGAGACACAGCAGGATTATTACAAAAAAGGGGCAGGGAGGAACTGCATGGCATAAATCTGGCTATCAGGAAAAGCTGCTGAACTTCATTGTGTACGTGACCCAAGACTGGGAAAGTATGGAAGGGAATGGTTACAGCATCTTCCAAGTAGAGATAAAGAACAGCCTTTCTTTAAAGACAGATGCAGAGGGGAGGGGAGATTTGAAACAACCTGGTGTCACATAAAGGAGAATTACTGAACTACTACACAACAGCTACTGTAATTCACTTGAAATTGTTCTCTCTTCTGTAAACCGTGAGATTCATTTTCTCTTAGCAGAAAAGATTCACATTGCTTTGCTGTATCCCATTACTCAGTATGCTTATGCATTAGAGCTGTTGCAAATGGGACTGAACGTTGTAAATCCTAGCCTAATAGTGCAAGTGTGATAATCCGATTGCTCTGTTGTTTGTTATTGCTGCAGTTTCCCCTAATGAAGCAGCACTATTTGACTTGAGAATCACACGGGCTCATTGTAAGTAGTGTTGTGTAGAGATAACAAGAAAATGAGATGTTAAGAGTGAAAAATACTCACTTTTCTTTCCGTCCATATCTGCATGGCTTTTCCGAGCCAGGAATCCAGTTTTATACACAGCAGCATTGGGGTCATGAGGGATGTCCAGGAATGGGTTATTTGAGTTGCCAATTCGACTGACAGCCTTCGTCTGGCTCCCATTATCCTTTTCATCTGTACCATCTGAGTGAGACTTTTTTTTCTCTTCATCATCCCTTGAAAAGCAGTGAAAAAATGAGCATGAACAAGGGACTGACAAGTAAAGTTTCATTTCAGTAATTCTTGCACACTCCTTGTCAAAATACCTCTCTCTTTATAGGAGCCCTATTTAGAGAGAAACCTAGACATGTACCAAAACACAGCCAGATTACAGCAAAGCATCAGTTCACCTAATTCACCAGCACAAGACCTAGGAGACAGAGTTTCAAAAAAGCTCAAGATTCCCTTTTACAGCATCAAAAGGAAGGATTTCAAGAACATTTCGTGTCCTCTGTCCTTACCTATATTTAATTCCACTTATTTCAGTGCTAAAACGGAAAATACTTGCCCCCTGGCCTCTCACCAAAAATCTCCAATTTCTTCATGAGTTCACACGTAGATTAAAAGAATTAGATCACTGCAGAGAGCTGTGGCTTAGCCCTTAACTTAGCATATGAAACACAGGCTCTACCTCTTCTTCTTCATTTTCCTCTGCAGACTAGCATAAAAGTAGTAATTTAAAAATAACAACTACAGTAGCTGAATTATATGTATTTTAGAAACAAAATGCTGCACAAAATGTTACTTATTAGGGCTATGTATTCAACACAGCTCTTGGGGACAACAATGCAACCCATTTTAGCAAGTCACAAGCATTGCCTGACTAATAAATGCCTTTTTGCTCGTCAAAACAAAAAGGACCGGGCAACCTAGAAAACAAAGTGTGTCCATCACAAGAGTTTTCACAGAACAGGCCACTGAATCTGGGTGGATGGTGTATCTGAAGGAACCACAGCTAGTGTCAGATTACAAAGCAGTCCCATGTCCTTTGAAGTCCCCACACATTCCTCTCCAGGTGACTGGGAAAGGTGTGTCAGCAAGGATGAAGGCTGTCAAAGGAAAGTCACAGTAGCTATGCTTCTCCCAAGACCAGAATCTGATTTTCAAAAGTATCATTGTAACTTGAGTGTAATCATAGCTAACAAGAGAGTGGACTTCAAGGTGCTGCATCTCACTGGACTCAGATGATTAGCAGAGAGAGCAAGCTCAGGCAGACCTTCCGATCACACACATACATTCAAAGGCAGGTATCAGATGATGATTAGCAAGGCATATGTTAGTCAAAAAGCTCCTTTGGGGGCACACTGCAACCATGTCTGCTTATGGAAATGACCATCCAAATAAACATTCTCCAAGAACTACAGGCTAGACTGCCAACCTGCATTACTCTGATCTCTGCTGAAATGGTTTTCTGGGCAATAACTTGGTCTGAGGATATACAAGGATAACAGACTGGTTTGACAACAAGGAAAACAAACACAAGGATGTACTAGTGAACTCAGCAGAGCCATGGAATGTTCCCAGCCATTTGACTGACCTTCTTATATTATGGTCTCAGCTCAACACAATTCCAACCATTTTCCAGACACCATTTAGGAAACAGTGCAGTCAAAGACCTCTCCAACCCCCAACAGGCAGCACAGAGGCAAGCATCTTCTTTTGAAGGATAAGACTTTGCAATATTATGGATAGGGATGCTACACATCAACATTCAGCCTAAGGCTCATACAAAGTGCCAGACATTTGATTTACTTGTAGAGATATAGCCAAGGTGGTGCACCATACCATCATGGTGTTGTCTTGCAAGGTATCCTGATTAAGAGGAACAAAACTTTTACCTGAAGACCTGATTCCTACAAGGGAGAGCAGTCCTTGCATCTTTCAGCCTATTGATACGTGTTTTCCCACTCCAGAACAGAGAGATCTGCAAAAAACTTTTTGTTGGTCAAAACAATAAGAATTTCTTCATGCATTCTTTGGTTGAAGCCCTCCCCCTACTGAAAAAGTGTAGGAATTTCTGACAGTTTTGATTGTCCCCACCTTTCCTGCATCTACCACACTTACTAGCTTCTGGTAAGTCTGTACTATAGTGTTTCTTAGATATGTGTCCGTTCCAGAAGCAAATTCTCTTAACACAGGTCTGTGCTATCCAATCCAGACTAAAATCTCACATAAGGCACAAGCACTTGGGCTGATTTGTCACACAGAAGTGCCTTGTGAATTCTGGGATCTCAGCCAAGGACACACTGGAATTCTCCTTGTCAGCAAAGACCTACTGCAGTAAGTAGCTTAGCATTTTTAAAAAAAAAAATAAGCTGTCTCCTTTGGAGTTATGGGAGAGAATTTTCTTACACTGATGAACTGCCCTCTGAGAATGTACCAGTGCCCCTGTCCAAGGAGTCACAGATGTTGTGATGAGCAATCCTGGGGATCCTGGACACCACTAGTCCTGGGGAAAATGCTCTCAAACTCAGCATCTCTGGGGCAGCCGTTGAACAGAAATTCTTCAAGACAAATGCAGACAGGGCAGACAAGGACAAAATGACATCTGCTGTCATGACTACTGGTGGCATTGAACAAACCTTTAATTGGTCCTTTAATCTGTCATTGAAAATGGGACATCCAAGCCTCAGGCACTTGTGAGAGCTGAGTGCTCTGACAACATGCATGAGGTCAAGATGCACAAGCCAGGACGCGTGATGCAATGAACTAGAGAAGCAAGGGGGACTCATTACAGAGAACAAGAAATGGATGAATAGCTGGAATAGAACTAAAACAGAACTAAAAGAAGTCTGTATCTCTCTCTGATCTAGAATATTAAACATCAGTGGAAATTAAGGGATGTGGGACCCACTTATTCAAATACTCTATGTTGCTTCAGTGGTCAAGCTTAAGAAAGCGGGATGAATAGGAGGAGCTTCGAAGTATCAAAACAGGTTATGTATTAGCCTTTAAGTACCCCCAAACTGCCTGAATAGATAGGTCCTGGATAGACTTTATTAAGGATGTAAAAATTTGAGCTTACTGCTCACCAGCCTTTAGGGTATGTTTACAGAAAATTCAGCTGGGCTTTGGATACATACATTTGAAAACTGATCTTTGTTTGAAAATGTAGCTTTTGGGAGGTGCAAATCCTTCCTCATCTTTTGATGTCTCTCACAGATTATTCAAGTACTGCAACATCCCCAGCATGAAAGCCTCCAGTGATGCAGGTGTAAGAGTCAGTAAGTGGTGCCTCTGTGCAGCTATGTTCAGAGTCATGGATCTAGTGTCATACAGGCAGAGCTCAGGTCCTTGTCATGGGCAGGCTTGGTGCCTCTCCTTCCCTTTTGCTACAAGAGATGGCACAATCTCTGTGTCTTTGGGGAAAAAAAAACAAACCACCACACTGGTTCCAACACACATTTCAGCAGTAAAACATGATCACGAAGGTCCACTTAGGTTTGCAGAAGTCTTTAGAGATTTTTCTGTCTTCAATCAGCAGAGGGAGATAACTTCCTGGCTCTAGGGCTGGAACTGAATTCTCTGATGATCCCTCTCTGAAAAGTGAAAGGGGCTGATGGCCTCGAACCTTCTTGTAAGTCCCATTTTCCATCCACAGAAAGTGTGACCTACAAGAGCCTCTGATCTGCAGCGTACTGGTGACAGAAAAAAAAACACCTGTAGAGGTTTTCCAAGACTCTGCTTATGGCATGTGGCATTCACAAGGTTTCCCAAAACAAGGAGCTTCAGTTCTGCTTCTGTTAGCTAATTTCTTTGGAAAAGGACCTGCACACCGAGCAGTAACCAGAGCACTGTTTGCCCATGAGAACCAGCACAGCAAAGGCTGAATCTGCTTGCTACATCAATTGAAGACAGAGCATTGAAACACCAGTGTTTTTCCTTCTCAAATACATGAACACTTGCAACCAATTTGAAATACAAGCAAAAATGCAGAGGTTGCTGTTTTGATGAAGAAAAATGTAATTCTGATGCTTTACAGGAAAATCCCATCTTGGTCTTCTAGAGGAGAACCACCATTTAACTCTCTTAATAACAAAAACATTTCCGTATGCTCTGTGGCCTGATTTGAGGCTCTGCCTTGGAAAACTTTTAAATCACTAAGCTGGAAAGACAGGGTCAAGCCCTTATTTTGAAAGTCTGCTTCAACTCTGCATTTGTTCAAATAGAAAACTTAAATGACATGGCAAAATGCTTGCTCTATCCATTTAAACATTGGCATTTAAAAAAAAATCAGATCTGTAGCATATAATTACATGAATCTGTGCAACTGATAGCATCTGTATCAGTAAATTGAGTTGTGGAGAAACCAGTGGAGAGAATTTTTGGCATCGTTCCCAAAAGGAGGAGAGAAGAAAGGAAAGCCAGGTGATTATTACCTGATCTCTCTCTAAAACCAGTCACAAAGTTGTAAACAGGAATCAACCTAGAACTTGGGAGATGACGAGTTAATTGTAATAGGAAGAGATTTCTGGGTCTGACCTAGAAAAAGGTGAGCTTCAGCACAGGTGTCTTTATAATCACTGGGGTCTCAGTTTGCTGCAGGAAACGAAGAAAGGATTTGGCAACGACCATTTCCCACCATCACTGTCTTAAAGACCTAGTTTGGTTTGGCTGGAAGGGTAGGATTTTTCAAAGCAGTCCAGAAAACAAACAAACTAAAGTATATACTCTGTTCACATCTAAACTTCTCTGGAAAGAAAACTGTATTATTATCAACTAGTAAAAAAACCAACAATTCTCCTGAACACTAGACTGTCCACTGAGAGAAAGTTTTCAGGATACAACTGGCTCAAATACAGCCATTTGCTTCTTGTGATTTTGCAAGCAGTACTTTGGAATTTCATATATTAATTTCTAGATCACCATTCAACCAGCTTTAAGATTATGATTTTATCATTCCTATCAACTTCAACAGGAAGTAGACTTATTATTACAATAACATTCACCAGCACATTTCTACACAGACATCGTGGAAACAAAGTATATTCAGTGCTTGGTGCCTTTGAAATCACACTAGTTTTTTGTCTTCAGCTTAAAGCTGATGATCAGTGTAAAAACCAAAAGATGAGAAATATTTGCAAAAATTAGAGTGTTAAGAAGTCAGCTAAAGTCAGTACTAGTTCACAAAAAACCTCCAGTGAATGCACTTCCATAGTTTTGCAAACCTATGCTCTTGTTGAAAAGGTTGATTGCTAGAAAGCTTACTTAAAGTTTAACCCAAAATTTCAAATTTAAGTCCATCCACAACAGCTGTGAAAAATAATTCACCACTTTTTCCCTTTGTGGTAGCTTCTACACATTATAAAACCCACACTAAGGTCCCTCTCCTCAATGCTCCCTTTTTCACCTAAACAAATCCAACTTTTCTAATCTCACCACTCACATTCACAGCTTTTTTAATTAACTGAATGTTACAGGTGATGTCAGAGTTTAAGAATAAGAGTTTACCATTAAAATACAAAAAATCCCATGGAAATATTGAGTCCCTCAGGGACATTTAAGCAGTGTGAAAAATTACAAGACAATTACTTGGGCTACGTGCACTCTTGGGATACCTTCAGTGATCTTGGCACGCTGAAAACATGATGCACTAACTGGATGAAACAGTAACATGGATCCACCACAGTCAGCAGGAGCTTCTGCCTGCTACTTTAGTGAGGTCCAGTCACCACTTAGTGCTTCACCTGCTGTTCAAAGACATGAGCCACAGTCCAACAGCTAGGAGAGTTCGAGAAGTTAAGCAGCACAGAGTAAATACGGAATGGGACAAAAGACAAAATAATCATATTTCTGATGTTTACTTTTGCCATACTGCTTTTCTTTTTTCTTCCAGGACACTGAAGAACAAAGCAGGTAAGAGGAAAAAGCAAGCAAAATGGCACACCAAGAAAGTGGCAGAACATTTTCTGGCAGCTCTGCTGTGCACAGCAACCAAAAAATTTGGGGGTTGCAATGGAGAGTAGGAGTGCACATTCAGGTTCTCACATTCACCAGGTCCGGATAAATCCAAGGTTAGATATATTTATTTTACAGATCATGGTATGTGATTTGCTTTTAAATTCTTGGAGAACTTGTACCTGGAACTACTGCAGAAAAAGGACATCCATAAATTCATGGGCCCTGATGGTATGCATCCACAAATTCTGAGAGCTGGCAGATGTTATTGCTAAGCCATTCTCCATCATCCTTGAGAGGTCATGGAGAACAGGAGAGGTGCCTGAGGACTGGAGGAAGGCCAATATCCCTCCAGTCTTCAAAAAGGGCAAGAAAGAGGAGCCAGGGAACTATAGGGCAGTTAGCTTCACCTCCATCCCCAGTAAGGTTTTTGAACCAAATAATTTTGGACACCATCTCAAAACATTCAGAAGCAAAAAAAAGTTATTGGGAGAGGTCAGCGTGGAGTCACCAAGGAGAAATCTTGCTTGACCAATCTGATTGCCTTCTATGATGTTGTAACTGGCAGGTTAGATGAGGGGAGAGCAGTGGATCTTATCTACCTTGACTTCAGCAAGGCTTCTGACACTGTCTCCCACAACATCCTCATTAGGAAGCTGAAGGACTGTAGCTAGATGAGTGGACAGTGAGGTGGATTGAGAGCTGGTTGTGTGACAAAACTTACAGGGTTGTGATCAATGGAGCAGGGTTAAGTCAGAAGCCTGTAACCAGTGGTGTCCCCCAGGGGTCAATACTTGGTCCAGTCTTGTTCAACATATTAATCAATGATTAAGGGACAGAGTGTATCCTCGGCAAGTTTGCTGATGATACAAAACTGGGAGGGGTGGCTGACACTCCAGAGGGCTGTGCTGCCATCCAGTGTGACCTGGACAGCCTGGAAAGCTGGGCAGAGAAGAACCTAATGAGATTCAACAGGGGCAAGTGTAGGGTCCTGCACCTGGGGAGGAAGAACCCCATGAACCAATATAGGTTTAGGGGTGGACCTGCTGCCAAGTAGTTCTGAGGAGAAGGATCTGGGAATCCTGGTAGACAGCAAATTATCCGTGAGCCACCAATGAGCTCTTGTCACCAAGAAGGCCCCTGAAATCCTGGGGTGCATAAGGAAGAGTGTGGCCAGTATGTCAAGAGAGGGCATTCTGCCCCTCTACTCTGCCCTGGTGAGGCCACATCTGGAATTCTGCATCCAGTTCTGGGCTCCTCAGTTCAAGGGAGAGAGTCCAGCAGAGGGCAAGAAAGATGATGGGGCTCTCAAGCACCTCTCTTACAAGGGAAGGCTGAGAGAGCTGGGGCTCTATAGCCTGGAGAAGAGAAGGCTATGAGGAGACCTTACTAATGCCTATAAATATCTAAAGGGTAGGAGCAAGGAGGATGGAGCCAGACTCGTTTCAGTAGTTGCCAATGACAGGACAAGGGGCAACAGGCACAAGGAACATAGGAAGTTCCACTGAAATACAAGAAAAAGCTTATTTACAGTGAGGGTGAAAGAGCACTGGAACAGGCTGCCCAGGGAGGTTGTGGAGTCCCCTGCTCTGGAGATATTCAAGACCCACCTGGATGCAGTCCTGTGAAAAGTGCTCTAGGAGATCCTGCTTTACCAGGGGAGTTGGACTAGGTGATCTCTAGAGGTCCCTTCCAACTCTGGCAAATCTGTGATTCTATGGTAAGAACTGTAATACAATTCTCTCTGCCGAGAACTGTCCTCGTGCTTCCCTGTTCATAAAGGATAAATGAATACTCTTACTGAAGGTCTCTGAAGCACATCTGCTGATTAAGGTGCCACTTGATTAAAAAACTGGAATCAGTGGTAGACTTTTCTTTCTGTGGGCTTTGCATCAGACTGTAATTCCACTGGAAATGGACAGCAAACCATTTGGGATGATGACACACGTAGCTCCCGACTAGTAACATAATGATCATGCAGCAGTCCTCCCCCATCTCATGTACTGCTGTACCCTCCCCTGCCTATTGACTTAGTAGCAGTCATTAACCCATCAAATAACGTACTGCTAGACAAGCTATTAAACTGTTGCTTAGCTTGGAAAACAGACTCTTAGATCCTCAAAGAGACTCTGCCCAGATAAAGGACATTCTTTCAACAAACCAGCATTGTGAGGGAGGTTTTGCAACCCTATTTCTACCTTTGCCTTACCTTCCACTTCTTCCCTTGCCAACTGCATTAGGGAAGAAAAGGGATACTCTTTGGAAAGGAGAGAGGATCTTCCTCAGTCACATCACAGCAAAAATGGCCATGCCCCCTTCCTATCCTCCTTTCTCTGCAGCAGAGCAAGACAATGATGTCTCTCCTCCCTCTAGCTCAGGCAATCCTGGGTCTCCTTGGTGTAATTACTTTTCACCAGCCACAGATCTCTGTAAAACTGAGGAGACATCTCCACGCCCCCTCTTCCAGCCAACACTCTCAGCCCTAAAGAGGCACAGCCTCTTTGGCTATGCTAAGAACAAGCTTTGTTTCACAGTATGGAAAGTAATTGTCATATTAGTTCCAACTGAGCTTCAGGTTGGAATTGACAATTGACCACTTTGAGCATTCTGCTGGAAGAAGGTTGCTTGACACCCACATCCCACAGCCTTATTCCAGGAGGATTCTGATTTCTACCTTTTCCAGCATGCTTGCAATTCTTCTGCAAAAAATTCCTTAGCAAAGGATAGGGACAGGACTATGTAAATGCCAAAGCAGTTACCACCTATGCAGGAGCAAGCTATCTTGTAAATCACCTTGACTAAAGCTCATGGGAGTAGAGCCAGGCATAAGCCAGCTCCCACCTGAAGGCTGCTCAGGTGTCTTAGACTCTTACGTGGTCTCTTGCCAAGAGCTGGAGGAAAGTTCTGACAATGAGAAAGTCACACAATGGATTCTGCTGGGTCTGAAGCACTTATGAGATAGTGCCACAACAGCTCTGGTGTTGTGCCATGCAAGATTCACACAGAATTTCACAAGAAATTAATTTGCAGATAAAGAACTTAAAACAAGGAAGGTCAGAACCCTGTGGGCCTGCAAGACCTACGGCAATTGTTAGGACTTCTAGCACAAAAGGTGCAGGAGTATGCATCATAGACATACATTGCTCATCATAGTATGCATCATAGACATACATTGCACCTCAAGAAGGTGAGGTTTCAGATATGTAAATCCACACAGGTAAACATCTTGTACAGCCATAATATATAAAAGACAGACTTCTTTCATTTTACACCAAAATCCATTGTTCTTCAAGCAGGAAAATCTAGAGCAGACCCTGATACTCCTTGCTGGCACACCTAGACTACATAAAACCTAACCACAGAGAAATGTCAATTTAACACAATCAGAAACTGAAGCTCTTTCTTGCCTGCAATATTGCTGTAGTTAGCAAGTGTTAGTATGTTGAAAGCATCTAAGGATGGGGAGATAGCAGACTTTGTCCAATTTATCATCTTTCATATTAGGCTGTTGTCAAGTTATCCATAGTTAATCAGGAGACAAACCAAGACAATAAACCAACAGCAGGAAACTCAATCCAAGATGTGTTTCTATTCAGTAGTTCTGACACAATGTACCAAAAGATACAGGGAGACGTCAACTTCTGTTTTATTTATGCAGTCATAGAACAACAGAGGATTTAATTTCTATCTTTTCAGGCTGAAGTTTCATTCTAAATGAAATGTCCTCTTTCCTTACAAATGCACTTGAATCCTATCATTAACAACTCCATTTGCTGGAGAAACAGATGAGGCAGTATTGCCAGGTCATTAATTAACAGAAAAGCAAACTCATTATGTACACTGGCTATCTTCTGCAGGCTTTGGAGCCCACTCAGATGGTGACATAGGATGTAGAAACACAGGAACTATTTTTAAACTCATAATTTTTATGCAGTATACTTACACTGCCCATTCCAGCTTCTCATTCTTGATTGAATTGTAGAGAGCCTGCAAAGGGAGAGAAATGAGATAGGATTATTGTTTGATCCCTGCTACATATGCATTAATATGCTGAAGAAAATTACCTAATATCAGCAAGTGAGCCATTTCTGATCAAAGAAGTACCGTAGCTGCTCATGGTAACACAAAAGCCTGGAGCAGAAATCTCATGTAAGTAAAGAATACCAGAACACCAGGTCTGAGGTCACAGTAATTTTGTCAAGCAGGTTTTTAGATTCTGTGATTTGGGGTTTTTTGGGGTTCTTTGGTTTGTTTGTTAGGATTTTTGTTTGTCTTTTAATAGCCCTGTTAAGTTTGCAAAAGACACAAAATTACAGCCTTGAAAGCCAAGGGCAAATTTAATTCCTGATAGGCAGTGAGCTTTTTTGTCACTGGTTTTAACTGGGCCAAGATTTCAACATACAAGCTTACCTGGCAAACCTACACGAGAACAGCTATCCAAAGCTCCTGAGCCTCACAGACAGCTGAATGGTCTCCCAGTCACACACTCAAACATAAACATGTTCCTTTTCTAAGCACAAAACAGAAAATGACTGATATGCAGTTTTTATGCTTGAATATCAATGTCTTGGACTGCTGCCTGCTAACATCATTACTGTTTCAATTAACAGGAAAGATGCTAGATGGTTTGGCACCAAAGGTCACAATTCTTTTGTTGATACCAGCCTGCAAAGGAAAGGGTCTGGAGGTTGACTTAAGCCTGTGAGGATCTCAGCCTGGGATGGATTTCTTTTGAGAGGGAGTAGGTACATTACTTGAATATCCAAGTGTGTCTGACTTCAGCCCTCCAGTAGCTGATACATACAATAGAAAAATGCCTGCTATTACTACAAGCAAATGGAGCTCTTCAAATAGGCCACTTGACTCAAGTGAAGTATTTTGGTATGGAATGTCCCTGATTCTTGCACTTATAATCCACATTTGTAATTTACCTTATATACATAGCTAGATTTACTCCCTCTGGCACATAACTCCTACACAGCCTCAAAATATTTTAACGTGTCGAAGAACTGTTGATGCACATGATTACCATGAAGTAGCACATTAAGTATGAACAAGCTTGAAAATCACATACTATAATAGCTATGACATCCTCAACAGAAACATTAGCGTTAAAATAGCCTTAACTCTGTCCCAAAACAAAACTAATTTGGAAAATGAAGAGTTGAAACTAGTCTTGTGCATAAGCCACAGCCCACCTTGCAACAAGAATCCCACTACCATACCCCACTGCTCATCCTGTGATCCACTGGCTCCTTTTCAAATCTTGCATGGTCTATTTGAAGATCCTTAATATTCAGCTCTGTGAAAATCTAGCCTGATTGAGCCATACACAAGCAGGTCAAACATACTAGTGCAACTCACTTCAAGCTGTTGCTACACATGCAGCAACTTTTAGTCAGAGTTTACCATAAAAATAAGTTTATCAGAGCAGCAGAACAGATAGGACCACCAGGAAGAATCATCCCCCATCCTGCTTACACTGAGCTAGCAGAGAGGGGTCCCCACTGCTAACAGGGCTTTGCTGCACTACCCAAAACAACATGATGAACTGTTTCCAAATCTGGAGTTTCCACTGTTTATTTCTATTTATTCTTTCTTCTCCAAACTTGCATAAGGAGCTCTGATCCAAAGGCAAACAGCCAGACAAAGGTGAAGGAAAGGGCATTGAAGGTATTTTGTAGGCACTTTTCATGATTTTCAGGTAAAACCTACCAAGAAATTTTAAGACTACCCTGCAAGAAGAAAGCAAAAGAAGGGGCTAATATTTCTGCTACTATGCTGCCAGCAGCCCAGCAGAATCAGACACACCTCCATTTTTTGGCACAAGTCAATGTTGATACTGATTCCCTGCGACCAGTATTTTCTGTTAGAAGCCACCATATTTCTAATAATGTGACCAAATTCGCCTCTTATTCTTTGACTTGTCCTTTGCTTCCTACTACAATTAAAATGTTCTCTTACATTTTGAGCCAGAAAACTAGTTCCACAAATAAGACAAAAAGACTATTTTTTTTTTTGCAGTTGCCTCTCCATTTTTTCAGAAACAGTATTTTTTTTTCCCCACCTAGTTCAGTGAGCTTTTGAAATCTAGCATAAACATGGGCTAGGGTATCAAGAAACACCTTTTGCTGCTCTCTGTCCCAAATGCCTACACAAGATTGGGTCACAACCCAGAAAAAAACACCCCTCCTGGTGCATTAGAGTTTTTTTATGGGTTTTTGCTCCAAGGAAATCTCTAGGAATCACTACAGCCAAAGAGCAGGACATACAAAAGCAGCACTCCAGACTGCTGCAGAAACAACAAATGCCTCAGGCTTTATGCCTTGTGCAAAAATAGCACGTGTTTGTCCTGAGCTTAACTAATGAGCCAGACTCCATCTTCTTTCTTCTGTAGGGAGTAACAGACACAAGCCCCATCATATGGCACACATCTGACAAAAAACACAGCCCCCCCACCCACCTTTTTGCAGTTGCCTCTCCATTTTTTCAGAAACAGTATTTTTTTTTCCCCACCTAGTTCAGTGAGCTTTTGAAATCTAGCATAAACATGGGCTAGGGTATCAAGAAACACCTTTTGCTGCTCTCTGTCCCAAATGCCTACACAAGATTGGGTCACAACCCAGAAAAAAACACCCCTCCTGGTGCATTAGAGTTTTTTTATGGGTTTTTGCTCCAAGGAAATCTCTAGGAATCACTACAGCCAAAGAGCAGGACATACAAAAGCAGCACTCCAGACTGCTGCAGAAACAACAAATGCCTCAGGCTTTATGCCTTGTGCAAAAATAGCACGTGTTTGTCCTGAGCTTAACTAATGAGCCAGACTCCATCTTCTTTCTTCTGTAGGGAGTAACAGACACAAGCCCCATCATATGGCACACATCTGACAAAAAACACAGCCCCCCCACCCACCCTCCAGCATCTGACCTCTCAGAAAGTCTCTGCTGTTTACAGAAATGGAAGAGAAAACCCTAGAGAGTTCCCACAGCCCGGGCATCTACATACAGGGCATGTTCACTGTGTCTACTGAGTGTGTTTGGTGAGACCTCAGAGCATAGACCATTCAAGGGATGAAGATACGTGAGTTCTTACACCTGCCCCCAACCCACCTCCCTGGCAGAGACAGCTGCTGGGCTGCACGCTCACCACTGTACTCACCAGCCTTTTAGAGATGCTTTATGTCCCTTCTCAAAAGCAATTTAACATTTTCCTGATGTCTACTGGGCACTCGTGTTATCAGAGAAGAAAAATTTCCTCCTTCCATGCTTTGCAACCAGTAGCAGACGTATATAACCCAGCACCTTCTGTTTCCCAAGACCCTGATTCAGACAGCAGACACTTCTTCAGAGTATGATTAAATCAAACAAACTTGAAGACAAGTACCTAAACGCTTCACTAAATTGCAACAAAGCTGAACAGTGATTATGGCAGGGGCATGATTTTCACTGTGCTTAACTAGCTGCAAGGACAGGTTTTATTAACTTCTGTTTTCTATCTGGGCGAAGGAAAAAAATAAAAAGCTCTGAATTAAAGCACTCTTACAAGTCTGACAACAATCACAGCTTCTTACCTGCTAGCCAGGGAAGTATTTGGCAAATGTGCTACCTAAGCCAGAAAACTGGAGGCTGGACCACAGCAGGGAATGCCAGGATGACTACTGCACACATCTCATCTTCCAAGCTGGACCAATAACACTTGGAAAGGGGAGAGACTTTCTAACTCTTTTGGCACCCAAGGCTACTGTAGGCAGTATCCAAACTCCAGCTACTGACTACTCAGCAGTACCCAACTTCATGGCTTCAAATCTTGAGCTCTGTTACCCAAACCACAAAAATCTACTCCTAACAGCTTTCCCTGTTCTGAGAGCTGCTGATCTCCGGGTCCACCACGTGTGAGGCCCAGCACTGCTCTAAGCTCCTGGGAGAAACAATTGCAGTTTTGAAGGGAGATTAAATTAACTGCTGCATGAAAGAGAATAGCAGGCAAAATCCTTGACACCTTCCGTATTTTAATTCCAATGCTGTCTCTACAGCTTTAATTTCACCCTTAGCAGACTGCAGTATTAAAAAAATTAATCCGTGGCATCATTACGTATTCATCAGATTTGTTTGTATTTGTTCATAAACTGGGCAAGAAACTTACACCTTCATTTTTAAGTGGAAGTCTGTAACTCTGTAAGGAGCTGCTGATTTCATCTCCATTTTCCCTTTGGCAAACAGGTAGGTCAACTAAAAATCCAGATTTTCACAAGCTCTTACCAGTCTGTACTTCTATTCCAACTGGAAAGCAAAGGAAAACTATGTGGGGTGTGCTTCTGAAAACTGTTTGCTTTGCAAAGCTGCCAAGAAAAAAAGGTCACTCGCCACCCTCACTTCTCTCAAAACCTTGTCACATGCACAAACCATTGGACCCACTTAAACAGGCTGCTCTCGGCACCTGCTGGCTATGCTGTGACTCAGCCTTTGCATGCAGAAGCAGTGAACAAAAGAAAGGCACAATCAGGTGTGTACACAGGGACAAAGATGCAACAAATTACCCAGATACTCCTCTCAGCAAATCATCTAGGTAACAAGTAGACACAGGGTCCCCAAAGCTTGGCCAGCAGGGTGCAAGACTTCTCAGACACTGCGCAAGCCCTTCCCTTGAAAGGCAACTTGTAGGCTGCCTCTTGAAGCAGACTACTGAATTCCTGTGCACCCTAGTCCATCTAGAAAAGCCTGCCAAGAGGGAAAGGAATACACCACAGGTATTGCTCCTACTTGCTCTGTGCAAAAAACAGAAAAGAGCCAGAAATGACTGTCATGAGCAGATAAAACAGGCAAAATAAAAACTGAGTTCATAGAGTCAGCAGGGATGACCCAGACTATCTTGCCCAATTTCTGTTTCCTAGGCTCTTTGCTCACACTCAGCTCCACCCTGATTTCTGGAGTAGTTGTTGGGGGAATGACCACCTGACCATTACAGGAGACTCCGTGTGGCATTTGCAG